CCTAATACACATTATCAAAGTCAGTCCCATCAGCTTCATTAACTTTTAAATTTATCAATTGTGCTATGTCACCATCAGCAAGAGAAGAATGAATAATATCTATTGTTAAATGGGCACTTCTAGCAGCATACAAGTGTCTTAAAAGGCGTCTCAACATAGGAAAATGAACAGATGCATTGCGTAAAATATGCATCATACTTTTACAATCAGTATCATTACTACTACACAAAATAGTATGGCCTATCCTTTCACAAACAATTTCAGAATATTTAAAATATTTTTCAATGCTGTTTTCATTTTTTTACCATTATTGACAAAAGGTACCGTATGGCGGATAGGAAAATTGGTCTTTAGAGCGTAAAAGATGGAAGTCCAGGGCTCCATTTATGATAAAATTACTGCAGAGAATGCAAAATGATACTATGTCACTTTTAGCAACAATGCTTGACTAACAGAGCACTCAGGTTGATATTTATCGATGAATTTTAAAATCCGCCATAAGGTACCTTTTGTCAATTATAGTCACAATTATCGTTACGTTTGCAGGTACCTTTTGTCAATTATGGTCATAATTATCGTTACATTTGCAGATACCTTTTGTCAATTATGGTCACAATTATCGTTACATTTGCATTATCACACAAATCATGTACATGCTCTTGATCTATTTCTTCGATCTTGTCATACAATGCTTATTAGGACAATTATCACTTGCATCTAACTTCAATGATAGAACTAACATCACTTTCTAATAAAGGTTTGCACCTGTCTGTACAGTGCCATTTGAGGGTAGGCTTTCTCTTATTAGTGTACATTCTATTATTACCACAATTGTCATATTCAGAGGCACTATTATCATTACATTCTTCTGTTCTATCAATGCATGACTCATCAACAATCCCGGCTACATAACAGATTCCATCTGTATCAACAGGGATTGCAATTGGACTATCTAATTGGCTATCAGAATTATCATTACAATACAAATATGCTGATTCATAAAAATAAGGCTCACTATTTTTTGTGTACCATTTCTCACCAAAATCACGAAAACTATTCAATAATTTCCTAATGCTATTTGAGGCATGTATCAATATGCCTACTTTGTGGGATCTGTTTTTCAAAACTGATACTTAAAATAGACTTGATGCAGCATTACATTTACTTTCATATGATGTGTTCTCAAAATCTACACCTTTCATACTTGAAGGTAATAAATCATCAACTATTTCGGGCTGTATTATAATGCTTCAATAATTTTCGTAAAATAATATTCCTTTGCTTCACTATTTGGTGCAGGTAGTGAGTAATTAGAACGATATCTATACAACATTTGACCATAATTACGATCATAATAATCATTATTTAGCCGCCTCTTACTTTCTTTATTTAGTGCCATTTTTTATTCATCCATTTTGTTATCAGAAAATTTATATCTAAGAAATTTTTTTGTAGTATGTAATTTAAAAACAAAGTGGTGACTCAGAAGCAGAACAAGGTTCTGAGCTTTGTAGCCAGAATAAAACAAATATGATGTCTAAAGTATTCTCAAGAATCACTAGAAGGTAGAAACCTATGTAAGTCTTAGTTATTTGAAATAAAGAAGTAAACACAATTGCTGCCATTGGACTGGCACTCAGTGAAGCCTTCTTCCTCATTGCAATTCAAACTATATATATATATATATATAAATGAACTACAAGTGACTAGGCTCAAGTAAATAAAGTAAGACAATGAAAAATAGTTTTAATCTTCCATAAATAGTTTACATGCTTTCTCACCTTACTTATTAGAATAGGAATTCTGAAAAATCAACGGAGCAAGATTGCTGCCATAGTTAAGGAATATCATATATGGAAGATTGAATAGTGGAGACCATACAAGCCAGATCCACTAGTCAGCCCATCCACACACACATACATCAACTGGTGAACGTGACTACACCATAGTTTAAAATATTATAATAAAATGCTATTAATTGAATAAACAAGTGTTATACAGGTATATATAATGGCTTATAGTAGTTCACTAGTTATTATTGGTGAGTATTAGTTCAATGATATGTAAAAGTCTGTCTAATTGGTTCATTACATTATTATTTCCCTGCCACCATCCCCTTCCTCTCCCTCCCATTCCACTCCCTCCCCGGCCCCTTCCTCTTTGGTGCGACGGTCTAAACTGACTGCGAGCCTGAAACTGCTCATGCCGGGCCTTCCACCTTTCTCTCCCTGTTCCTCAATTGTTCCCTGGCCTGCCCCGTTCTCCCCTTCCTTTCCCTGGTCTCCCTCCTGTCCTGGGCACCTCTACAAGGAGACCCGCCACCTCTACCACCCCTCTCCCAGCTCTACCCTCTCCCCGTCCTCTCCTGGCTGTCCCTACTTGGCCGCGACCGCGATCTTCACGGTCAGTAGCTACATCATTGGGATGCCCGTCTTCCCGTCTTGGCGGTTGTGTTGGAGGTGGTCTTATTGGAGGTGGTCTTATGGGAGGTGGTGGTCTTCTATCTCCTAGTAGTGCTGAATCATCTCCGGGCTCATGTAGAGGTACTGGTGGTGGTAGCCTATTTGGAGTCCCTAGTTGAGAGTTCATTTCTTCCTATTAAAGAATTATATCTTACTTTAATCATAATTATCATACAATCAATTACATCATTGTCGTAAAGTAGATTGTATTCTTCATTCTCTTCTACGACATCAACTTCAATACTACTACTCTGAAATCAGTGAATGCAGCCGTTGTAATTAATTGTTTAGGAGCCAATAGTAATAACTAATGTGTTAAGAATTAATTAATAGGTCTACAGTAGTTCATCCAATCAAATTAGACCACGTCTTTATTATTATTATTATTATTATTAGTCTATTATAACTAAGCAACCTATGTAAGATGCACAGTTTCAAAAATTACTTCAGTTAAGAAGATAAAAACTTCCATACCTCAAACGGTAGCTAAGCAGAAGTGAGTTTTACCCCAATGGATGCTTGCCAATAAACAGCACCCACACACTACAACAGTGTCGCCACGTGAAAAGCAAAAGAGGAGAAATATCATATTCTCTTTCTATGGCCCACCAATGAAATGTCGTGTACCTCTACAAGACATGAGTAATAATAAAAAGAGATGCATTGATTATTTAAAACAAAAGCAACGGGAGCATAGATCTAAAGAATCTCAAGAAGATAAGGCTAAAAGATTGAGAAAGATGTGGGAATATGCACAGAGGACTAGATCTATTCAAAGCTAACAAATCAGCAGATCACAGAGAAGCATGTCTAAGTGATCAAATACAGAGAAATCAGCAAAGATGTACCAATGATGAATCAGTAGATCACAGAGAAGCTTGTCTAAGTGATCAAAGGCAGTGAAATCTGGAAAGATTTATCAGGGAATTAGAGGCTCAAAGACGTCCAACTTACCTAAGTGAAAGATGTGCCAATGAGTCAGAAGCTCAATGAGAAGAACGTCTCTTAAATCTTTGTCAAATAAATCACGAAAGGAGAGCCTCAGAATCTGAAGAGCAAAGAGCTCAATGAAATCAAAGAATGTTGAAGTATCATAGAGAGTTATTGGTTAATCAACCACAGCAACAGCTATCTAGAGAACACCTCGAAAAATTTTCGAGGCCATTCGTTGTTGATGCACTCAGGTGGCTAAAAGCAAAAAATACTTTATATAGTGATGTAAATATTGATGAATCTATTATAGATAGCAATGACTGTTCTGACAGTAATAATGAACCTGAGCAAGGTACTAGCATTGAGCTTCCCCAAATTGAATGTTCGGTAGTCAGAACAGATCATACACTACAAATTTAGAAGCCATTGACTTCATTAGAAATGGATCATAATAATCAAGTTCATCAGCTTCCTCGAATAAGTGGCCAGCCAATACATTTATACGAAGATAATAGTGCAGAAGAAATGGCATTTCGATGTCCATTTCCAAATGAAGTCAATGGTCTTCATACAGCAAGAGACCGACCAATATCATTTACTGACTATATTCAATCACGTTTACTTAATGCTGATGCTCGCTGGTCTAGTAATATTCCATATTTACTATGGTCAGCAAATTTACTTTAAAAGATAAGATTACGTGATTCTGTATCAATTGCAATGCAAATTAGATCACCATCATCATTGGGTAGCACAGGGCGTATCACTGCTGTGAATTATTAAATGGAGATTTAAGTGAAAACCTAGAGCTTTCAGAAAATTCATGTTTTTAAGCGTAATATACGTGGTTCCTAAGCATACTGGAATAAAGCAAAGCTTGATTTGTTTGCCATGTTTAAAACACTAGGTCCACCTACTTTCTTTATCACAATAAGTGCAGATCATATGAATTAGTTTGATTTAATGTGTGTACTTGTAAAATGTGATGGAAAAAGCCTTAGTGATGAAGAAGTAAAAGAGCTGTCTACCTCAGAATGTAGAAGGTTACTAAGTAGCTATCCAGTGGTAGTAGCACATTATTTCTCTCATCGCTTTCAAGCTTTTATGAATCATATTAAATGGTGCTAGTAAGCCTATAGGTGAAGTAAAAGACTACTTTGGAGAGATGAGTTTCAACAAAGAGGCTCGCCTCATATACTTAGTTTATGGTGGGTAGAACATCCACCAGATCTTAAGACAGTAGAAGGTAGAAGGAAAGCTCTGGGTTTCATTGATAAATATGCTAGTTGTCCCATACCAAAAGATGGTGAAGATGATGATTTAAAAGATTTAGTATAGCGATTACAAAAGCATAATCATACACAAACATGTAAAAAAATAGACAATAGCTGCCGCTTTGATTACACAAAGAGGCCAAATGACACAACTTGTCTTTAAAGAAATGCGGACATTGGAAACAAAGCCCGTTTCTACATACTGAAACGTGAAGTAGGTGCTGAGATAATAAATCCATACAATCCAGACCTACTAAAAGCATGGAGAGCTAACATCGACATTCAAGTAGTAGGAAATGTCTATGGAGCAGCAAAATATGTATGCCATTATATGTGTAAAGACGAGCCTCAACAGATTAAACAACAGATAGCAAGAAAGCTAGACAAATTGACGGTAAATTGCAGCCAGAGACAAAAACTTTTTAAAATAGGAAACACTTTAATAAGTCACAGGATCGTCGGTGCTCAAGAGGCAGTATTTTGTACTACTGGTTTACATTTAAGAGGTTCTAGTCCATCACTTGTATTCATAAATACAAATAGGCCAGAGAAAAGAGGAAGACTATTTAAGTCAAATAGAGAATTAAGAGTTATGAGTACTGGAGATGATGATGTCTTCAATCCTGGTCCATTAGAGAGATATCAATCTCGTCCTGATGGAGAACCATATGACAGTATGAGTCTAGCACACTTTTCTGTATGGTACAACGTTGCTGATAAAAATTATGAGCCACTAACTTCTTGTGCCCAACCTAGATATGATCTAAAGAATGGTCTGGGAAAGATATATCTAAGAAGAAAGCTAGCATGCTTGAGATTACCGACAATAACACAAGAGTCTCATGGGGATAGTTAATAATTATAATTTAATCTTTCTTTATTTGCCATGGAGAAATGAGACTCTCGATTTAATTGGAAATCATGGCTCTGCTCATGCATCATTTGTAGCAAATAAAGATGAATTACAAGTATTAAGTACAGAACAACACACCTCTTGCTGATGAAGTACAATGAGCGACAGGGCAATTACGTGTACTAAATCAATGTGGCGATGCTGTGCACGCTCCTGTTGCTCCTTGTACTTCACACCAAAATTTTGAAAATAATATTGAATGTGATGGTTATGATCCAATATATGGCCATGAATTATGTCTCGATAATGTAGCCGCATTACGACCTGATGATAATAATAATCATCAAAATCTATGTGGTCAAAATATAGAACAAAATATTGGTGACATAGAAGATGCATTGACTCTGGACTCTATCTCAAGGCGTCACTTTTCAGACTCTGAGTTTGAAGCAACAATAACGAGTCTTAATGATTCCCAGAGAGTCCCTTATGAGAAGGTCCTTGAGTATTCAAGAGCAGTACATGATTTTCAAATGAGGACAAGAGAGTCAATGCCCAGCCCTTTTTGTACGTTTATAACAGGTGGTGCTGGAACTGGTAAAAGCCATGTTATAAGTGTCATCAAAAAGCATTTAGAAAGAGCTTATATTGGTGCTGGAAATGCTTGCATTTTAATGGCACCAACTGGTGTTGCAGCCTTTAATATTGGTGGATTAACTATTCACCAGGCTCTCAGTCTTTCTGTAGAGCATGGAAACTCCACTGGCTACAGAAAGCTTGGAGCTGAAAGATTAATGGAGCTAAGACAATCCTGGAAATATGTGAACACCATAATAATAGATGAGATAAGTATGGTCTCATACTTAACAATGTCCTTCATTCACCAGAGGCTAACTGAAATTAAAGGAACCGATGACTCTGAGGTTCTCTTTGGAGGACTGAATGTCATTGCAGTAGGTCACTTCTTTCAGTTGCCACCAGTGAGGGACAAATTTGTGTTTCAAGATGGCAGAGGCTATAATCCAGGCTCAACACACTTGTGGAGAGATGAATTCAAATTAATAGAACTAACTCAAAATATGAGACAATGAGGAGATACAGAATATTTAGATATTCTCAATCGCGTGAGAATTGGTTCTCAGACAAAGTCTGACATAAGTGTACTCCGATCGAGATTGACAAGTGGTATCAGGGATCCCATTGATGTCAGTCAGCCTCCATTTGTTGATGCATTATGCCTAATGCCTTTAAAAGAACAAGTAGAAGAATATAATGACAGTAGATTGACAGATTTATCATGCTCTAATAAAATATATAAATTTGATGCAAAGCATTCAATAGTAGATTCAACAACCCTAATTCCTGATGTAGTATCACATGAAGAAGTCCCAGAGTCGCTCATAACCTTCCAACGATAGAGATTGTGCTGGCTTATCAAGGTGAAGTGAAGTTAGCCTTGGGAGCACAGGTTATGTTTTGACGTAATATTATATGTGAGGAAGGA